CTTTTGGATAAGCGCTAAAGAACCCAAAAATAAAACAGGAAAGATGAATGCCTAGCCATAACAAGTGAACTCGCCCCTTTCGCTGACCTTTGTGGGCTTCGAGCGCTATCGGCTCCATGCCGAGGGGCTAGGTCACCGAAGCCACCCACAGTGAGTTCAGTCTAGCGGTGGTCTCAACCAAAATCTAACCATCTAAGGGGAGTCGACTGGTGCTTGTGTTTTACGATGCCCCACTGTTTTGAAGTTTGAAATGATGTCTGCGGTAGGTCGCACTGATCTTTGACTTTCCAGGCTCTGACGAAGGCGACCAAGCCGAAACGTTAGCCGAATAAAGTCTTGTACATCTTGGCTTGTGGCTTTAGAAGCAAACCTAAGAGAATACCACACACGATGCCAAGATTCATCGAACGTCGAACATCTGTCCCATTTTGAGAGTTCGCCACTGCTCCATGGGGTTATTTGAGGAATCACTTATGCAGCTCCATGGAGTAGGCATTCAAGTGGCCTTCAATAAGAAAGTGACCCTGGAATTCTCTCAGTTTTAGCTATAGAAATCCCAGCTAGATATGACGATGTCCAAGAAATTCTGTCGAATGAGGAATAATTTGTGACATCCAAATCAAAGTTCTCCGTGAAAACCCGTCGAGGAAAATTTGAAGTCATGTCAAAGGGAAGGAGGAGAGGGTTATCGGTGGCGGTATGGAGGGTGGACCTAACAAGGAAAGGCTCCCAGATCGCCATGGTCATTCAAGAAGAGACGTATACCACTACTGTGCCTTTGAACGCTGATCTCAAATCTGCCTCAAATCTGCTAAACGATTCTCTGAATGGAGTTATGAAGCAAAACAGCGCAACGGCAGGAATCGGATTTTCCGGCGAGAGTGTGCAAGTATCAAGCCCTTGTCGCTGTTTGTCCGTGCTTTCTATAAGACGCTGGAACGGCTTTCAGTAGCCTACATAGCAGTATTCCTGAAGGGAGCAAAACAGCAAACAGTATAAGCAGCCGATCCCACAACGTTTCGACTGTGAGTCCCAATTCACGCCGTTAGCGCTTTTTTGCTGTTCCATAACTCGTTCAGAGAATATTTTAGCAGATTCGGAAGGTTAATTTGAGATCAGCGTTCGAAGGCACGTGCAGGCATATGAATCTCTTCTTGAATCGTGGCGACCTGAGTCTTTTCCTTGTGAGTATCTAATCGAAACGAGCCAAGGGCTCATTGGCAACTTTTTAGGAGCTACGAAAAAGGAATTTGATTTCAACGTAGAATGCGAAAAATAGTAATAATGAAATAACAAAAGCGGAAAGATTTCTAGCCAGGTGGGGGAACAAGGATCATTCAAACCTTGTACAGTGATGATCCAAGTACGAGCTGGAATGGAGCAGCATCGATAGCGATTTCATCGAGATCGATTGTACGATCAAGAAGCGCCTCGGGGTCTCGATCCTGAAAAAACTAATTATTTCCTGATTCTGAACAGAACTATGGGAATTCCTACCTTCAGTAGCTCATTTGAAGAAGGTCTCGTAAAGACGGCTTGCAATGGAACAGCTGAAAGAGAAAAATTTTACTGGAAAGCCTGGCAAAATCGGCGAACCGGTATGAGGACTAACCAGGAAGGTCTTTCAGGGCGTGACGAGCTTTTTGAAAACGGTCTTTTGCATGATATAGGGGCAGATGCGGGAACCACAGAACCATGTTAATTTTTCCTGAACGGCCCTCTGAATACCAGAAAAGGGGGTCCCTAGTTCGATTCCTCGTGGTGACAAATTTTTGCATTTCGAGTTGACGTTCCAAAATTCGCGCAAAATGGAGTTAGCATGAATAATTAGTACCATATTCATGATTAGGACCGTCAGTAACCCCTACAAAAAGACTTTGACTTAAAAATTGGTGTGAGAGGTGTGACATCAAGCAGCCCCACTGTGGTGTCACACCTTTTTCACCAGTTTTTTAATCAAAGTCTATTTGTAAGGGTTACTGACGGTCCTAATCATGAGTATGGTACTAATTATTCATGCTAACTCCATTTTGCGCGAATTTTGGCACGTCAACTCGAAATGCAAAAATTTGTCACCACGAGGAATCGAACTAGGGACCTCCTTTTCTGGTATTCAGAGGGCCGTTCAGGAAAAATTGAACATGGTTCTGTGGTTCCCGCATCTGCCCCTATATCATGCAAAAGACCGTTTTCAAAAAGCTTGTCACGCCCTGAAAGACCTTCCTGGTAACTTCGACGTAGCATAAATGATACGAAGTTATACGACCTAAGAAATAAAATAACGCAAGATTTCTATTCTTGGATCAGTGATAGAGGGCTGATTTTCTTGATGTGTGTTAAAAAGTGGGGCCCACCACGAAGAAATGCGCAGTGGTCCGGGAGGCTCTGCCTATATTGGTGCAAAGTTTGCCTTGTGGATGAGACTCCCTACGAAGAGGATATGATGAGAACGATGGAAGATGAGAGTTTTCAGTTTCTTGCTCCGTTCATCCCAGTTAACACTACGCCATTAGTACTTCGACCGATTTGCGTCCAACGTCAAGACACCGGACGACCTCCCCGTCCTACGTAAGCGTTACGTCGTCGCTGCGGTCCGTTCACTGTGACACAAACACCTCTCGAGGTTAATGGTATGCCAACAAAGGAGTATTCGTATATGAATGCTATATAAGTACTGACTTGTACATCGGCTGGCCCCCGCAAGTCATTGTATAGGCCACATCGCATTCAAACGCCACTACGAATGTACAAATGGAAGTAGAATGCGTGCCGCATCCCAAAAAGGGATTGATCAACGGCAAATGCTTTATCCTTTATCCTTTTATCCATAAAAAATAGCTTAGATTTTTCAGCCCCTTGTTTCAAGGACCCTGCTGAGGTTGTTCAATTCTTAGCGGCTGTTGCGGACGAAACCAGACGGGTACATACTTAAACACATACCATACCATAACAATGCAGACGTTCAGCGGTTATTGTAATAGAAACGATAGAAGGATACATCTTTTCTGTCGTGCTTAATTGCTTGAATCTGATAGAACGTTCATGACCTGCCCCGAGAAACATTCTCAGTAAGCTTCTTCGAGTGAGCTGGACCAATCATTTGATTCTTCGATTTTTGATTCATCTTTGACCTCTTTATCCAAGTTTGTAAGCGATCGTTGAACTTACTGTTCGGAGCATGCAGTGGCGAAATTGACAGCAGCGTGTTGCCGCTGTAGCTGCGATCAGTCACCACTTCTAGTGGTTCGCTCTCACTTCGGCTGCTGTCAGGTTCCCTCGCATCTTTCGATCTCCGTGACGGTGACCTCTTCGAGAGCCTGAAGGGGTATGGCATTATGTCAATGTTACTGAAGGAATTTAATTCAATCAGAAGAGAGGTAGACTAAAAATATTCCCGTGTCAAAGCAGTGGAGTGATGAATGCGATGTTGGGTTGAGGGTAGGTGGCACCACAAATTATATTTTGGAGAGGAGGGAACGAGCTAATCTTAAAGGCAGACAAAGCCTCTACGAACGATATGTGGTGCACTCGCGGCGCAGCATGCGCCGGTAGCAAAATTTTATAGTATGGCTTTATCCGTCCCTCTGTTGTCTTTTTACCAGTCCCGCCTTCGGTATCTGCTAGTATCGGACCGCCAGCCTTTATAACCCTTAACAGAGAAATAGAGCCAAGCGTTCACGTTGCTGCACCTCTAGTGCGGAGAAGCGGATAAAACAAGGGTTCGCTTTAAGGATGTTTTTCTTTCTTTTTTGCTCTCTACGTACTCCTTATTCCATTTCTCAAGCTGACCCGTTTATTGATTCATTACTGCCTTTGAGTTCGACAAAATCGACAGAACCCAACCATTTGGAAGCCTCACTGGGCTTATAGCAATATGTGATTTTCAGCATCATTCTAGTGCTGATTTCGAAAATGTTAACTTTAAACATGCTAGATTTACCTCATACTGGTCCTGCGGATTGTATTGAAGATCTCGGAAGGAGTCATACGAACACTGGCACGACTGTCCTGCTGAGTGACCAGAACATGTCGCCGCAGAAGCATGGTAAGGTAGCGTTCGCTACCGATCCAGGATTTTGTTATCTAGAGATGACACATCAAGGTCCACCATCTCGAAGCTGGTGAACATTTAAAACAATTCAGCAGTGAAAATATAGTTTGGGGGGCACCGTATCTAATCGAAGTGGAGTAGCGGAAGACACTCATATCTGTCCTATGGCAAAAACGGCTGTCACCTTGCTGAACCGTCACTTTCAAGCAACCCTTCTTGCGATTGCCATGGCAAGCCCTTGGCGAGAAGGGCCTTTTCAGGTATCCGATTTGTACGGAATCCCGGTTGGTATCCATATCTAATCGTGCACTCAGAGCCTGTGCTCTGAATGTTGATTAGATATTACCGCCCTTCCGCACTCCACTTTGATCAGTTTCGGTTTATGAATGACAGTCGTAACTATGATCGCTTCTTCGAGAATTAGCACTTAATTATGAATGGGCTCCCCCCGACACTACATTTTCACCACAATTAGGCTAAACTTTGAGGAAGGCATCAACGTACCGACTGTCCTTCAATAACCAAAACTGATATCCGGACGTGCTGCAAAAGCAGTGCCCAATTTTTCAGAACAGAGGTAACATGCTGAACTCACCATGGTCGGTAACGATTGGGAAACTCCGCAGATGAGGAGCCATTTGGAGAATTTCCTTCATTTCCCGATACGTCATGTCCTTTGTGATGTAGATGACATCGCAGACCATGACCTGCTCGACCTTCACCGTGTGAACACTGGAAATGGTCTTTTTCAGGTTCAAGGTTTCTACTCGAGTAGCGATTTTTCTTCATGTCACTGCAGCTTGCGAAAGCCGCCGTTGTTGTTTTACCTGATTCTTGATGGCGGTAAATCGGGTAGGTAAGGATATTTCTTTATTCGAATGATGCTCTCATATATAGACGGCTGTAGGAATTTGCAAATAGCGTTGCCCATCAGCATTGCGATCTAAATCTTCCATAACTGCACCGCTGCACACAAGTTCTTTGAGTAGAATGAGATTTTCTCTGGTTTTCCATGTGAATCAATTTCCAAACTGTTCCTATTTTTTCTTTTATTCAGTGACAACCAATTCACTGCCTTAAAGGACGAATTCACGATTCAAGTTGATATACAAAAAGCACTTTGAATAATTAGAGGTGCAAGACGGAAAGCGAAGAAGTAACTGACAGGGACCATCTCTTCGAGCAGCATTCCATCCTCTAACGGAAAAACGCGCAACTCTCGCGAACACACTTTCCACATTTCCCATTTTCAGAAAATTTTTCACGTCTCAGGACCAATATTCCATCGCATGGACCTGCGCATATGGTCACCCCGATCTCCTTCCATGAGATATGGGTCAAAATGTAGGAAGCAGATGCCGAAAAACCCAGCGGACTAATCCCTAATAGTTATTTAACCCATTCGCGACCGCGCAGGATTGCGCAATAGCAGCAGCGTCAGGAGATTTTTCTTCAATAAAATTCGAGTGGAGGGAGATTTCCTCTGCCCAGGGCTGGCGTAGATGAGCGAGGGTATGAAGATTCTTTCCCATGGAAAAAAACTTTCCGAACTCCATTGGGCAAAAGCCCTGCAGCCACACAGTATGCCATGCCGAGTGAGAGCGTATGTCAGCCACCGGATGGCCGACATGTCAAGATTTTTTCGACGATTTCTTCATTTTCTTTTCAGTCATGTTGGATTTCATACATCTATATAGTACTTTTAGACACTAGCAATATACGGGGACATAGTGATGGAAATGATTATAAAAACCGCGTAAGACCTCCTTGTTGTTGATCGTAATAAGCCACAAAGCGGAAGGAAGCGGAATCCTTCAGTTTACGTGGCAATGTCCTTGCTTCTAGCCGATAGCGCCTACTTTTAAATTTGAGAAAAAAAAACAACATTTAGTCGCGGAATGTGCCTTCGCTAACGAGACAATGACCAGATAGAAGCCTCTCGATAGCTTCAGAAATGTTGTTCCCGCCTTCGTCCAGAATGTTTCAAACGAAACGAACCAGAACAGGTAGAATGGGAGCCAGCTGTCCTGTGAGTTCGCAGATGATCACTGCTACCGATAGCGTATGAGTGACAGCTCCAGTGTAGGCTGCAGCTCCTGAAATTCTCCCCTTAGCACATATTTTTTGTTATAAAATGGTGTTTGTGGTTCACATTTGCTTACCAACAACAGCGTATAGCCCAGGATAGATGGGTGGGACCGCCGGGTCCTCGCATTCCTTCCGGGAAGAAAAACACCATAATTCTCACCCACTGAAAAGCAAAAGAAATTGCATACACAGCACAGAAAACTCTCACGATTACGGTCATCACTGAAAACTACAAGGCAATACGTCTTTGCGACTCCATTGCTTTCCAATGATTACGGGATATCTGAGAAATCTATACAAGCCGATTAATATAGTGAACCTGTTTAGCACTGTTTCATTCAAAAGAATGATTTTCATTGTTTCTTGTGCTTTCAAGGAGGCAGTGAGATGTGAGGTAAGGTAAGTGTCACACTTCGCAGTTTTTCAAAGCACGAGTATGCGCGGGGCGCGCATGCCGGAAATCGCCGGTTGGGGCGGGAGCTTGAAATAAAACCAGTTACAAATCATAACGATCTGCTCACTGGCAATTCTGTATCGTGCGCCATCATACTGCGAAAGCGATGGCGACTGCAGTCGCGATCTGACAGCACGCTCCCGACGAAAGCAATGACGATCGATCACCGGACAAGCTCCAATAACGAATGAGGGAACAAAAACGCCGGCGGGCACATTTATGGAAATACATACGGCGACGAGGAGAAACTGAAATAATTCAGGAGACATGTTGAATGCAAGCGGTGTTGACGAGATAGCGGTACTCACATAAACAAAATAGTACGTCGCCAAGGAGGTGAAAATGTGTACGGCACCGTCGCCTGTCCAGTGCCGCAACAGTTGATCGGGACACCTGAAAAGTGGTAATGCATTAAGGGAGAGGAAATGGAACCAATAACGGACTGCCCATTCAAGACGTTTCTTATTAATGGTAAATTTTGGAACCACACTTTTCTCCTCTCTTCCAAAACAGCTGCGAACTTTTTTTTTCCGCAAATGGTACATCGCTCACTGGTACGACCCATGTGCTTGCCGGTCCCTCTACCTTTCTCTCACGCACTTACAGTACACGTACAAAATCAGTAATTAAGTTCGGCAGGCACGTCAACTTCTTTCCAATTCTTACCATAAAAGGCCGCTTACTATATGGGGAGATAGTAAGAGCGCGGAGTAGTAAGTAGATAGGAACAGACATCGTCAACGAGAGGCCTGGATACGAGCGGGATGAGTGCAGTGAAAAGGGTTTTCCCAAACACTCCGGATGTTGTTGCGAATCCTATGTGAACCTATTCCGTTGGGCATGGCAATTTCTGCCGCCAGGTGTGTCTACGACCAGGGTCAAGCGTGCGTTGAGGAATCCTCGACATGTCACAGAGGGGGGGGGGTCGTATTGGCCCGCTGGGGAGAGATCGGGCCCGATTGATACAGTAGGATCATCGTCGGAGGACAAACATTAAGGATCGAATCGATACCAGGCCAGAGTATTTCCAATAACAATTGATTCCGTCCACACAAAATCTTCGTGATTTAGAGGTGTCCGCTTAGCAATTCTTAGTGACTTTAGTGTTTCATCACCACACAAGTCAAAGGATCCGAAATTCGCACGTTTCTAGGGATATTTTATTTCAAGTAGGTCCTCAAATCCAACGAGATGTGAAGCACACGGCGCATCCCAGAGTGGGCCCAGTTGGTTGCGCGCGCTTCAGCTACGGTGGGATAGTGCTAATGTAGCGAAAAAGTACCTTTCGGCGGTACTCGGGCAAAAATCCTCAACGTGGCCATTTTTTAAATAGTGAACGTATTTAGCAGTTTTAGTTGCCTCTAGAAAGAGCAAATCTTCTAGTTTATGATGACGTATTAACTTTCCAGAATGCGTGAGAAACGCCAAGTTGTTTGACTTGGAAGCAGCTTAATTTAAAAATCGGAAATATGACCCCCGGGGAAGGGGGGGTCGTATTCCCGAATTTTCCTCGACGCCTCGCTTGACCTTGGTGGTACTACCAATCTGCTTGTCAGTTCCTCTACCTAGGCTTCAGCCTACTGCCTTGATCTTAAGTTGGGTATTTTATGAGCAGGATCACAAATGACTCGGAGCGCAGATGACGTTTTCTAATCGTCATTGAAACCTTGTGTGTAAGAGCGCATAGAGCTGCCCGACCGCAGCCCCAAAGCTGCTTTAGAGTTCCATTCCATCAATGACGTTCAATGACGTCATCAAAACTGCACCGCCCTCTAGCCATGGTGATCGCTACTCTCACGAAAGAAACATCGTGATGTTTGTTTCGAGGACGACATTGAGGGGTCACAAGGTACAATAGTCAGACACGAGGGCTGTGAGGAGCTATCCAGTCCGGGGATGATGTGAGGGGAAGGATAAGTTAGCTGTACGTCCGAACCCACGAGTGCAATCATACAACAACGCCCAGGTTGACGTAATACCTAACCGTCCCCTTCAAAAAGCCAGAAAGTGTCGGGTGCAGACCATACACCACAAGTGACGACGGCCTCCAGAAAATGCAAATGTTTTTGCCAATGAAATGATTAACCTGTTACAGTTGTATTCGATCAGTTGACACTAATTACAACTATCATTTACTAAAAATCAGCTATCACTATGAACCACTACTAACCAGATTTACTTGGAGGCCGTCGTCAGTTGTGGTGTTTGGTCTGCACCCACACTTTCCGGCTTTTGAAGGGGAGGGTACCTGCTCTACCATATTCAAAAGGGCATCGAAATCAATGAGCATTATCAGTCATCAATAACTTGAGAATGTTTATTCTCAAGATAAGTATGAAAATGCCACTCACATCTTCGAGGTTTCATTGGTGTACCAGGTGCAGTTGTTGAAGAAGTCGGCCATGGTTTCGCGGAAGGTCAGCTGAAACTCAAATTACAGTGGAATTCATAAAAAGAATGTGTTGTTTCTTCGCCCGCACAACCCAAATTTGACTAGATCTTTACTTGTTCGACTCTAACGTCATCCTTCCTTTTTTGGCGTTACCCAGTTAGAAATGAGTCATCTCTGATTAGAAAGGAAGTTCATGTGACGCAGTCCTGCTTCAAAGACGAAACATGCGTCAACACTGCCCTCTGAGTAATAGCGATTTGACACGGATGGACGTGTCTGAGATCGCGATGGGCGTTTCAGCCATAA